GGAGGGAGGGAAGGAGAGAGAGAGAGAGAGAGAGAGAGAGAGAGAGAGAGAGAGAGAGAGAGAGAGAGAGAGAGAGAGAAATTAAATAATGAGTAATAAGGCGTGCATTTAGTCATGTAATTGCCATTCCATTGTTCTCCATTCTCTTTCCTTAGAGTCGGGTCCATCTGGCATCATTTTCCTTACAACTCAGAGGGCATTCTTTGACAATTCTTGTTATTTGTTATTTGGATGTATTGGTCATAAATGCTTTTAACTTTCAGGTTTGAAAACATCTTTGTTTTATGTTTAGCTGTGGATAGTATTTTTACCACCATAGTTTTGGCTTGCCAAATTTATTTTTCTTTTATTTCATGAAAGCCGCTGCCCAGTCTCTTCTTCCTTGACTTATTCTTGATGAGACATCTGTCATCTTTGCTTGGTTGCTCCTCATTCAGCATCTCCCACCTCTCCTTACTCCTGAGAGTTTTCCTTTATTCCTGGTTTTGAATGGTTTTATGATGGCATCCTAGTTTATCCTTCATGTGTCTTGGCTTGAAGTTTACTTAATGTTCTTAAGCTCCAGCATTAGATTTTGTATCATGTCTGTGGTTTTTTCAGCCATTGGTTGGTTCTTCAGACTTTTTTTTAACCTATCTTCAAACATTGGACAGTGGTTCATAGTTCACCGCCATTCCTTCTTTCTTTAAATTCTTTTTTCTCGTTGTCTTTTATTTTAACTACTTTGTTGTATGGTACCTCCTAGCTCAATAGTGTTTTCTTCTGTGGTATCTAAACTCTCATTAATTTGTTGGTGTATTTTAATTCTCGGTGGTGTTTTCACATCTGAAAACTGTGTTGAGATTTGTACTTATTGCCTGTCTTTGCTTAACTTTTAGAACATGCAAAGCATGGGTTCTTGACCTGCATATCAGATATTTACATTTTAATTCATGATAGTAGCAAAATTGCAATTAAGAAGTAGCAACAAAAATAATTTTATGGTTGGGGTCACCACAACATGAGGAACTGTATTGAAGGGTCACAGCGTTAGGATGGTTGAGAACCGCTGATAAAAAATATAGTTCAAATAATTTTCATGACATTCTGTTAACTTTAACACAAATATCATTTCTAGAGTACTTTGAGTGCTTACTTTATCCCTTCTTAATAGTAGTTTTATTTGTCAGTTTCATATTTGCCTAATAATTGTTTTCTATCTATAGTGGAAACACACACACACCCTTTTCTCAAGGTTTAGTCTGGGATAAAGTTATTTGTAACAAGTACTGTGCTTTGGAATTTTACTCTTAGGAATTTTTAAGGTCAGTCCAGAATAGTACTTATTTATGACTTTGGTTCTTGACCAGTGGCAGTTTTGTCCCTTAGGGACATTTGGTAACATCCGAAGACAGCTTTTTGTATTGTGATGACCAGATGGTACCTATGATAGAAACAAGACAGGGAAAGTTTCTTACCTTCTTATGATGGTGAGACAAGATGCCCCAATAGAAAACATTCCATTTTAAAGTACCAGTGAATACATCATTGAGAAAACTAGTGGGGCTGTAGAGATGGGTCGGCACTTACGAGTACCAGCTCTTCCAGAGGTCCTGAGTTCAATTCCCAGCAGCCACATGGCTCACAACCATCTATTACTGTAGTCCCAAAAGATCAGATACTCTCTTCTGTTGTTATATAGACTACACACAGATAAAACACTCAAATACATAAATGATTTTTTTTATTTTTTTAGAAAGAAAGAAAGGAAAGAAAGAGAGAGAGAGAGAGAGAGAGAGAGAGAGAGAGAGAGA